CGACCGCAAATCAGTTGAGCCGCCAAATCAACAACAAGCAAAACCAATGCCAGCGACAACTACATGACAGTCAACACAAACACATCCTGCAACCAATCCTGCAACCCCCCCTCTTGAAAATCACACCCATGTGAGTGTGTGGGGGAGAGTGTCTGACTGTGGCAGTGGTTGTTAATGATTGTTTGACGCCATGTTTGATTGACGTGCAAACGCCTGCTGCTGCTCCTTCAGCCTCTTATTGTATAAATTTTATTATCCTTATACGTGAGTGTATTTATATGTGCACAACTCACCTTACCCCAAAGCCCATCCCCGCCTCCCTGCCCGCCTGGCATCTTCACCTTTCCAGTCGTGTTAATGGCCACCAAAGACCGCAATAACCACAAGGCACTTATCAATTTTTGCGCCTTAACAAAATGGCTCTCGAGCGTGTATTTGTGTGCGCACTTCCGTTGATACCAATACCAAGGACATATGTGTGTGAGTCTGTGTGGGTGTGCGTGTTTCTTTGCAATGGCGTGCTTGCATTAATATTCCGTTAAATTGACATTTACATGATGAAGACGATGATGGCGACAACGGGGCGCCGCCTGCCTCTCTAAATGGCTGCCTCCGGTGAAATCATTCAAGATCTAATTTATCTTCATCAGCGCAATAAGTACTTGAGGAAATCAAAAACAAAACACTTTTCCCTAATGATTCCAGATTTTGCCCATTTTCTTATGCACATTTTGCAACGGTGTGTGCTTTATTAGAAAAGCTTCAAAATAAATTAAGATATTGCCTTCGAAAACGGTCAAAATGCACTTCTAAGCCCTATAATACTTATGCACAATAATATTTAAGTCATTTTATAGTAACATATTTAAGTAATATTTAATATCAATATGACCCACGCCGAAGAGCATATCTTTGTCAATTCTTATCCGATCCTTGAGCGGAGTACCTTTATCGATTTGTAGAGAGATTCTCCACCAATCTGTATCAAAATCTAGAAACAAATTATTTTTTCAATTTTTTGTCAAATTTTCTAGGGGACCCCCTGCAAAAGTTGGAAAATGGATGGGAGTCACAATATGACCCACGCCGAAGAGCATATCTTTGTCAATTCTTATCCGATCCTTGAGCGGAGTACCTTTATCGATTTGTAGATAGATTCTCCACCAATCTGCATCAAAATCTAGAAACAAATTATTTTTTCAATTTTTTGTCAAATTTTCTTGGGGACCCTTTGCAAAAGCTGGAAAATGGATGGGAGGCACAATATGACCCACGCCGAAGAGCATATCTTTGTCAATTCTTATCCGATCCTTGAGCGGAGTACCTTTATCGATTTGTAGAGAAATTCTCCACCAATCTGCATCAAAATCTAGAAACAAATTATTTTTTCAATTTTTTGTCAAATTTTCTTGGGGACCCTTTGCAAAAGTTGGAAAATGGATGGGAGGCACAATATGACCCACGCCGAAGAGCATATCTTTGTCAATTCTTATCCGATCCTTGAGCGGAGTACCTTTATCGATTTGTAGAGAAATTCTCCACCAATCTGCATCAAAATCTAGAAACAAATTATTTTTTCAATTTTTTGTCAAATTTTCTAGGGGACCCTGCAAAAGTTGGAAAATGGATGGGAGGCACAATATGACCCACGCCGAAGAGCATATCTTTGTCAATTCTTATCCGATCCTTGAGCGGAGTACCTTTATCGATTTGTAGATAGATTCTCCACCAATCTGCATCAAAATCTAGAAACAAATTATTTTTTCAATTTTTTGTCAAATTTTCTAGGGGACCCCCTGCAAAGGTTGGAAAATGGATGGGAGTCACAATATGACCCACGCCGAAGAGCATATCTTTGTCAATTCTTATCCGATCCTTGAGCGGAGTACCTTTATCGATTTGTAGATAGATTCTCCACCAATCTGCATCAAAATCTAGAAACAAATTATTTTTTCAATTTTTGTCAAATTTTCTTGGGGACCCTTTGCAAAAGTTGGAAAATGGATGGGAGGCACAATATGACCCACGCCGAAGAGCATATCTTTGTCAATTCTTATCCGATCCTTGAGCGGAGTACCTTTATCGATTTGTAGAGAAATTCTCCACCAATCTGCATCAAAATCTAGAAACAAATTATTTTTTCAATTTTTTGTCAAATTTTCTAGGGGACCCTCTGCAAAAGTTGGAAATTGGATGGGAGGCACAATATGACCCACGCCGAAGAGCATATCTTTGTCAATTCTTATCCGATTCTTGAGCGGAGTACCTTTATCGATTTGTAGAGAGATTCTCCACCAATCTGCATCAAAATCTAGAAACAAATTATTTTTTCAATTTTTTGTCAAATTTTCTAGGGGACCCCCTGCAAAAGTTGGAAAATGGATGGGAGTCACAATATGACCCACGCCGAAGAGCATATCTTTGTCAATTCTTATCCGATCCTTGAGCGGAGTACCTTTATCGATTTGTAGATAGATTCTCCACCAATCTGCATCAAAATCTAGAAACAAATTATTTTTTCAATTTTTTGTCAAATTTTCTTGGGGACCCTTTGCAAAAGTTGGAAAATGGATGGGAGGCACAATATGACCCACGCCGAAGAGCATATCTTTGTCAATTCTTATCCGATCCTTGAGCGGAGTACCTTTATCGATTTGTAGAGAAATTCTCCACCAATCTGCATCAAAATCTAGAAACAAATTATTTTTTCAATTTTTTGTCAAATTTTCTAGGGGACCCTCTGCAAAAGTTGGAAAATGGATGGGAGGCACAATATGACCCACGCCGAAGAGCATATCTTTGTCAATTCTTATCCGATGCTTGAGCGGAGTACCTTTATCGATTTGTAAATAGATTCTCCACCAATCTGCATCAAAATCTAGAAAAAAATTATTTTTTCAATTTTTTGTCAAATTTTCTAGGGGACCCTGCAAAAGTTGGAAAATGGATGGGAGGCACAATGTGACCCACGCCGAAGAGCATATCTTTGTCAATTCTTATCCGATCCTTGAGCGGAGTACCTTTATCGATTTGTAGAGAGATTCTCCACCAATTTGCATCAAAATCTAGTAACAAATTATTTTTTCAATTTTATGTCCAATTTTCTAGGGACTCCCTGCAAAAGTTGGAAAATGGATGGGAGGCACAATATGACCCACGCCGAAGAGCTTTTCCAATTCCGATCTTTGAGCGGAGTACCCATTTTTTTTGGTTAAGAAAGTACCTTTTTTGGTTAAGAACTTTTTTCAGGACACTCTCAGCCCTTACACACTTTTTGAAGCCAAAATTTTCGGGGCAATTCCATTTAAACATTTTTGATTTCGGGTTTGTGTGAGCAACAGACTTGCAACGCTCTTAGCAATTTGCTTACACTCAACTCAGCCATGTCCGAAATGGCAGCTACAAGAGGCCAAAACCCCCGCCCCTCCTGTCCGCCTGTCCTGTGTGTGAATGTCTGCGCACTTGATGTTGTTGGATAAACTATGTAGAGTCCTTGAAAAACATGCAGGCCATAGAAGCGGAATGCCGGCGGCTGCAAAAACAACGACGCAACAAATAGGAAAAATAGAAAGGAAAAGTTAACAGTTGACATAGTTTAGAGTTGCTTGGTCAGACGATGGCTGTCAAGGGAGGGGGTCGAGGGTGTATAGAGGGTGAAGAGGGTCTGCGGAGGGGATAGGGTTCAACAGCCACAAGCGTAAGCCGTTGAATGCCAAGCGGAATGAATGTCTTAATCAGAGAGTGTGGGCGGGATGGGTGTGGTGGGAAACTAAATGAATTTAATTGCCGCAGGATATGAAAGTAATTATTTCGCAGTGCATAGACATAACACTGCCAGGCTGCCAGGCTGCCATGCTGCCAACTACTGCCGCTACCAAGTGGGCGTAAGCGGGCCAGAGGGCGTGCCAGCGTACGGCGCGGCTAAAAACGCAATGAGGCCAAAGGCGAGATGCAGCAGAGATCCTTCTCCCTTTCGTTTCGTTTCAGTTTTCCCATTCCAGGCCGCTGCCATCGATGCACTTGCACTTAACAGCAAACGGGCGTTCAAATCGCCACGCCCACATGCCCACACACCCGCCTCCGACCATGTCGGCGTCCACTCCTACGCCTACATACGATGCAGCAGTGCCAATTGCCCCGCGGTTATTTTGAGTTGTTCTTTAATTTATTCTCTTTTATGCCTGTGCGTTCGTTGTCCTTCGCCAGTGCAGGAGTATTAGTGTGTATGACACTGTATTGGTAGTACAGAGGAAAAAAATCCTAGATCCTAGTACTAGGTAGGTCCTAGTAATACCCACACAACCACCGATTCTCTTGACGCCTGGCCTTTTTCAAGATTATATCTCCGGCTTACTTAGCTCCTAAAGTATTACACCCAAAAAGTTCAAATTTCTTTCTTACTAAGCATAGAATTTCTCTCAGTGCACTATCACCAAAGAGACAACAGCTCTACAAAAGGCAACGATGTGTTACACTTTCAATTGTCGCTGTCCCTCAATATAGTTCGTTTATGGGGACAGCCTGGGTGGCTGTGGGGACGTGGATGTGTAATGCTTCTTGTTTACATGTTGGGTCTGCTATGATGCCTAGATCAACGCTTCTTTCTGGCATTGTTAGTGGCAGGACCTTGTAACACTTTTGATCAAACTCGCACATGAGCAAACACACTGCCACGCAAACAAGCAACAAATGAGCGATTTCTGCCACTCAATCCAGCGTCCAATTATGAAGGCGCGTGGAATGTTGCAAGTTGCATTTGATGGGCCTCCGCTCTGCAATGTCTCTGAAATCTCCCATTTGAGGTATGCAGTTTGCATATCAAGTCAGTGATATGCTTCGCTGAGTTCTATGAAACCTGCACTGAATCAGTTAAGCCTCTTCAAAGCTATGCTGGGAAACTGAATGTCCGTCTGTCCGTAGCATTTAGGTTCGTTGTTCCATAAAGTATTAGAGCTGGATTTTCTCAATAATTTATTTATTCAAAGGTAGTTTCAGCTTCCTTACTGGCCCTCATCGAATTGCGGGGACCGCACGTAGACGGGAGCGGGGTGGGTCAGGCCGTAGTTACGGATCACCTTGGGGTAGTTGGAGGCGTACTCCTGCTTGGGGTAGGGGACGGGCTGGTAGGCAGAGATCTCCTGGTTGGCCCTAGAGCGCTTTCCCGCCCTCAGGGCGTAGCTCTCTGGCTGGTAGTAGTAATCGTTGTAGGCTTCGATAAGACGACCCACATCCGCCTCCTCGGCAAAGGATCGCTTGTCGTGCTTGGGTGGTGGTGGTGGAGGTGGTGGTGGTGGGTAGGCGAATGGTGGAGGGTAGGGGTAGGGTGGATAGGGATAGCCGTAAGGTGGGTATGGGTAGGGTGGGTACAGGGGATAGCTGGGCTTGCCAGAACCAGAGCCAGAGCCGTGTCCATGTCCGTCACCATGGCCATGTCCATGTCCGTGTCCATTTCCATCTCCGTGGTCAGGTTTCTTGGTGGTTGTAGTGGTTGTATCGGTGCCATTGACCACCAAAATACAGTTCACGGTCGTCACATCATCATCATCATCATCGTTGCTGCCACTGCCACTTCCATGTCCGCTTCCATGACCACTTCCATGGCCACTTCCATGTCCACTTCCACTGCCACTTCCATGGCCACTTCCACTGCCATGACCATGGCTTCCATGACCCGATCCCGAAGAGGAACCTGATCCTGAACTGGAGTCGGAGTTGGGCTCGTACTCAATGCTGACCACACGACCCGAGCGCACCTCATCCTTATCCAGATCGTTGGTGGAGATCACGCACAGAGGCCGGCCCTTCTTGGTAGTGTCCTTGGAGCCGGAGCTGAAGATGGCGGGAATAAAGTTGCCAGCGGCAAAGCCAGAAGCCAGACCCTTGATGCCGGCGATGGAGCTGCTGAGCAGACGCGCCTCGGATACCTCCTGCTTTCCCTGGGTCAGTCGCAGGAGCTCGTTGTACTCCACCCGACTCACCTGGTGGAGGCGCACCAGCTGCGGGCGACTGGAGGCTGCCGAAGGAAAAGAGAAGCATAAGGTCCCTGACACTGGACACCTCCTAAGACCCAGACTCACCAGCTTGTGCTGCCGCTAAACTAAGCACGATCACTGCCAGCACCGGTAGGAACTTCATGTCGATTGCGAATAAGCCACATCTTGGAGATCACTTGCTTATATATTTCGAAAGTCTTTCTCCGATGTCTCCGCGTTGATGGCTTGACGGACCCAAGCTCCCTTTGGGCATTGTTATTCAAATGAATCAATCTAAACTGCTCATCTACAGTTAAAGCAGCGCCCTAATCATTGCGAATCTCCATAATTTACGCGTTGACCCAATTCTCTCAGACCGCCGCCCTGCCCATACTTGTTTTATTAATGGCCATCTCTGGGACTTTTGGTCAAAACTTGAAACGCTAGTCTTGACTTGCTGATTTTCTGATGGGACGATAACGTTGATGGCTTGACTCATAACCATTTCAGAGAACTACCCAAATCTAAGGTGCACCAAGAAGAGTCTTCTTCAGAACATAAAAATATATCTTATACTATCTTTCTGGTAATTGTGCTTACCAAGCTAACTTCTGTACTAACCCTTTTTTTTATTTTTTAACCCTTTTACTAATTAAAAATAATCAAAAAACTTTAAATTGGCTTGTTAAGATTTATTTAATATTTATTTATTGCTGTTGGTAATAATACGGTTGCTGTACATATGTCTTTTTATAATAGTAACGATTCCTGTAGTCGTCTTCCTCCTCGGAGTCCTCCTCATCCTGGTCTTCGTATTCCTTTTCCTCCGCCTTTTGCCCTTCCTTGTCTAGGTAAGGATAGGCACCAGGATAGGGCTGAGGTCCATATACCTGCTGGGGATAATACGGACTAACGTAGGGTGGTTGCTGCGGAGGAGGTGGTGGCGGTGGTCCGTAGGGTTGTTGAGGACCGTAAGGTAGCTGAGGTCCATATGGACCGTAAGGGCCGTAGGGCGACTGGCCATAGGGAGGTGTATAAGGCTGAGGACCATAAGGAGAAGATCCGGGGTAGGGACTGGGACCATAAGGGTAGGTTCCATAGCTTCCAGGATAGGGTGTTCCATATTGTGGGAGTGGGTAAGCACCTGGGATTTGGCGGGCATCTTCCGTGCTTTCATCACTCGGGTAGATACTCTTGTTTCCCTTCTTCTTTTTAAGAGGAGCGATGGAGGTGGTTTCAGGCTCTTCCTTCTCAGGATCCTCTTTTTCTGCCTCCGATTCAGGAATCCCAGGGGATTCAGACCCAGGGGTCTGCTTCACCACTGGGGACTCTTCTGTGGTTTGTGGTGGATTCCAGTAAGCAGCGAAGCTTGGATTGGGCGACTGGCTAGGGAGCTCTTGTTCGTCTTTCTTAAGGACCACAATGCAGTGAATGGCGGACTCATCGTCTTCGGACTCGATGGCCCTGTCCAGACTGCGAGCGTCGGCCACTTCCTCATCCCTGCCCATGGGTTCGCCCTCCCGCGTTTTGATCACGCACAAGGGCTGCCCATCGAAGTCGATCTTCTCGGCCTCGTCGGCCTTGCTGATTGTGGTGAGACCCACAATCCGTAGAAGGGAGTGCCAGCCGGAGCTGAGGGTCTCACTCACAGTGGCGAATCCTCCGTTGATCAGCCGAGCCTCGGAAATGAGATTCTTTCCCTTGGTCAGTTGCAGGACCCGCTCGTATTGCTCCTCATTGATCTCGTAGACCCGCACTAATTGCTCGCGTTTAGTCTCAGGGGAGGATGAGGGCGCTGTGGATTATTTGTTACATAAGTCTTTGAAAAAATAGCTTCCAGAAAGCACAAACCTGCCTGGAGGGCGGCAAAAATGCCCAGAAACAACAGCAGAGCCAAACTATGCTGCAACATGTTCTTGGACCTGGACTTAGAACGGACTAAAATACGTCCCACTGGCTTTGGTTTTATTTATACTTTTGGCCTGGATTTATGGGCCGGCAATCGAATACTATCGAACGGTAAACACGTCACCCGAATATGGAGACGAATTGCAATTAAATAAATATTGGACAGAGCCCATCACATCAGCATCGCATCTGCGACAACATCATCATTATCGCCCCGATGGATCCGCCGAATAATTTAAATAAATTAGGCAAATGTGATACAGATTCCATGACATCTACCAGACGAGTCAATGAACGCATTACCACGGTTCGTAGTTCTTAGTAGAGCAGATTCAAACAGGTTCTGGGCGTGATTTCATCATAATCCGGATTATCTTCTTAAATATAAATGGCCACTAAAAAGTGGATATGGATGAAGATGTACAGATATTTCATCAAATAATTGGTCTATGATATTATAAGTCTTTAAACCTCTTGACTGTTTTACCCCCAAGGAAAAGCCTCATCCGATTTGTTAAATTTTCTAAATCATAATTTTATTGAATCGATTTGGTTTCATTTCATTTCACAAAACTCTCGCCTGCAGTGTCCGTGTGTGGTTTTTTTTTTTTTGTTATTTTGCTGTTAAACATTCCTATCTGTATATGCATATGTGGGCCACCTATAGATACGCACACGTATAAATATTCTGAGAGTACCTGGTTTATATATGAATACACTTTTTAGCTGCTATTCTGTGACATACACTCATACGATTTACGTACTGTATTCGATAAGATTTCGTTATTGTTTTTCTTTTCTTTTTTTTTGAATCGGGGGACCCAAGTCCCCCTAGACACAAATACAATGATCTCAAGGGTTCTGTGTTAAGTAATTTCCAGCTGCGATTAATCGTTTATGTAAGATCCATTCATTCTATTTACAAGATGCGGGCCCATATTAAATTTAACTATTTTATCTATTATTTGAAGTTGTGTGTCTTGTAGATAGTTTTCTCTGTGTGTATCGATTTTAGCCAATTTTTCGCAGTGTGCGGCTTACCAACTAGAAGGGTTCCCAACTATCGAATCAGTTTATATAATTTAAGAGTTAATTAAAATTACAATTTCGTCTACTAATGAATTTATTTACAGTGCCTGCACATTCGCATTGCATTCGTATCAATTAAATCGATAGCACAATTATAAATTGTATTTATTTGCAAATTTATCCCCTCTTTTGTTATCAGTTTTTATTTTTATTTTTTTCAAGTTTTTTTGTATAATTTTTTTTGTTTTATTTTCTAGCCAAAACTAATTATATACATTAAACGCGACTGACCCCAATCGGATCTGACATCAACAAGGATTTTCTATAATATTCAAACGCTGATGGATGAAATGAAGAGTCCGCTCTCATAGTTTATTATAGGCTTATTGGCTATAAGTACATATATCATCATGTTAACCTAATCGTAGCTAATGCCTAAAACTGATAAATGGTAAATGTGCAAAGCAATTATCTCTACTCAAACACAACACAATTATCGCTTTCAATCGGAAAAGCTTACATTGAGATTGAAGTACTTGCGAATAATATTCTCTCGAATGGCAATTATTTACAGCAACTTTTTATCCAACAATTTGATGAAATGGTCTAGTGGAGTGCGGGTCCTTGGCAGTTGGAGGATTGCATTGAAGTGGGTAATCGGAATACTAGTGTTTCCAAATCATTCGGTTGGTAGTCTCGGTTGGGGCTATTAGGCTTAGTTATAGCTAGTAAGTCTTATTTCGTAATGACAGTGTGTGAGTAGATTCGCTATGGGTGTGCAATGGATATTTTCTATTTAGAGATCAACACGCAATATTGTTTATCTTTTCGTTCTCTTGCCAAATTCAGTTCAATAGTCCGATAAGTTCAAAAACCAGTACACAAGATCCAAAAACATATAGCAAAGAATACATAATAGTTTGTCTTATTCAAAGGTTACCATTGAGAACATTTAACTAGCTTATGTCTCCTTCCTTGCTATTTAATTAAATACTTATCGGATAATATACTTTTGCTTCCACTAAGTGCATTCGTCTTAGAAGATAGTATCGTAAATACCTATGCCTGAACCCCCCAAATGCGATGCATAAAAAACTTAAATCACCTTGAATATGTAAAGTGTTTGGTGTGGGTGTGTGTTTTTAAATTTTTTGGTTATTTTGTATCTCTTATTTTTTTGGTGCAATCTTAGTGGTTTGCTGCCTCATCTGTGTGCTGATTATTCCTTCATCTCATGCACTGTACCGCCGCGGGGCGTTCTCTCAGCATGTTGCACGTTGCCGGCGAGGATGTTGCTGCCGCAGCTCCTGCTGTTGCTGTTGCGGATGATGCAATGGCCGGGGCTGCTGCCGCCGGTACGCGTGTTTTTATGGCTGTTAACGCCGTTCGCCGAGAAGGCCACAATGCCGTCATTGAAGAACTGCGGACGTATCCACACCCGGCCTGGTAAAAATGCTGCAGGCAGCAGGAGACAATGCTCAGCAGCATGCAGCAGATGCCGCAGTAGAAGCTGTTGCTGTTGCTGCTCGAGTTGTGTTGCATGGCCGCCGGGTGTTCGCCTGCACGGGAAAGCGAAAAGAAAGCGAAAATCAAAATGGAGAACAATCTGGAGTCATCAGCTAATTGGCAGGTCGACTACACTTGAAACATTTACTATTAATTATAATTCTTAAAGCTTAAATACTAAACCATTCTGTAGCATGCTTATTAAGTACTGTCTGTAATTTTTTGCGAGTGCAAGGATCAAAGTAAACATCCTGCTACCACTGATTGCCTTTGAGCCTTCGCCAGATAACATCGACTTCAGGTTGCATGCATGGATTTCCTGTTTGTGCCAAAGAAAAACATCGGCAGCTCAAGTTGTTATATTCCTCGATGAGCTCTTGAGCACACAAGCTGCCGCTGCCATAAATCTGACAAGCTCCTCAACTTTGCACCCCCTCTCGCATAATAAACACACACATGTTTGGGCCGTGTTATTGGCCAAGCGTTTGCTGGAAAACTTTCTAGCTAGCTAGAAATAATTTCCGTGCTGCTGCACAAATACAAACATGCAGGAAAAGGCTGGGGAAAAAAAACGGCAGCAAATTTTCTCGCCGAGTCTGCTGCAATGCAATTACTGCACGGCCACGCCCCGTTCTGCACTTGGCATTACAAATTGCGAATGTGCCGCTGCTAACAGCCAACTTCCACTTCCCGTCATAAACATGCAAAACTCTCTGACAGCACAAACACGACTGCAAACACAACAGCACGGCTAAAGCTAAAGGTAACCGACTGCTGGAGCCGGAGCTGGAGCTGTAGATGGAGCTGGAGATGGAGCCTTACTTACCAATAATTACGTGCACATAGACGCTCGACGTTTTTGCCACCGTCGGCACACAGGTGTAGTTGCCAGTATCGCCGGGCATGGCGCGCTTGATTTTTAATCTGTGCCGCGGCGGGTGGACCAGGCAGGAGGCGGAGAAAGCGCAGAAAGGTAAGAGAAAGAGAACAGAGAAAGTGAATGGCAGTGGAGCAAAAGTGCATGTGAAACAAAAAAGGCAAAAAGGTACAAATTCCGGTGAGCCGAGGGGGAGGGAACCATCAAGAAAAAAAAAACAAAACTTTTGCTACTTTATGCGATGGTATAATGGTCTCTTGGAGTTGCCGCCACCACAGACTCTAATTCCCAGTTACTCTACACTTGAAGAAATTATACATAACTAAACAATTTGTCTTATTAGCTTTACTTAGAAGAATATGCTTCTCAAAAATGTATACTTTCACTTCCTATACCGGGTAATATCCCTAAACTAAACCTTTTAAGGGAAATATAAATTTTTTATGAATTTCTGTAAGTGTTCTTAACCCTTTCTCTTAGCACTTTTACCCCTTTAATCTCTCTTGCAGTGTCACCTGCATTTTATGGTCGTCTGCGTCGTTAGTTAGCAGCAAAAATGGGCAATGATCATGGGGCGGCATCCACAATCCGAGGCAGTAACTACTACTACCACTGACTACTGACTCTTTTCTAAGTCCACCTCTGGCATTAACTAAGGAAAATTAAAAGTCACACATGGCTAACTCGAAACACAAAGTGGAGTGAAATGTAAACGGAGTCTCTTTTGTAAATACCATCCTGATTGTCTATGGCCTACTTAACATTTCTAATCCTTTTAGAGTCCTTTTTGTTTGTTTACTTTTTAAAATAATTAGATGGTACTTAACAATTTATTTGATAACATGAGTAATTCTTGGGAGAAATGGAGAACATATTTAAAAAAAAATCTCTTTTAATAAATCCCACATATGGTAGTGTTCTCCCATTTAAAGATTAAAAGCAATTACTAGTCATATAGTCCTATATATTATTATGTGTCAAAGCAAATCTGGTCAATGGATATCCTTGTAGAGCTCTCGATTCTACTTAGAGCCAGATTGCAGGACTCCTCCTCTGTTAGCTGCGACGTGTCCTTCGCTTTGGCCTTAAAATGTCATTCAAAGTCGGCAGGAATAGCACTCCTTGCTACTGGGTGGCACTCCCAACTGGCTGGGCATATATGCTCGGATGTGTACATAGCTGCACAACTGCAGGCTTTGGGCTTTGGGAGACCAGGTTGGCTTTAAATACCCCGCCACGCCCTGTTCAGCCCCGTCCAGCCCCGTTCACGAATGATGGGTCTGGCCTTAATTAAGTGAGGCGGTATTTTAATGCGAAATAACTGAAATGCTCGGCTCACATTTGCACGTTTTGCGGGAGGGACGGGGCGGTAGGGAGCGGAATGATGGGCGAGTCGTTACATACCTTGAAGTCAGGCCGTCGGTCCAATCATCCTCGACGCGAATCCGGGCCGTGGAGCTGTCGATTTCGTTCTCGCTCTTGCCATCGAGCAGTTCGCTGCCTGAAATGCGAAGAGTTGCAAATTGAATTGCGTAAATGAGGTGCGGCAGCGGTGGTGGGGTGGGTGGTTTTGGGTTTGAGAGTTCATTACGCATACGCACCTTTGTACCAGAATATGTTGCCCAATTCATGGGGACCCTGCATAATTTTGCAGGTTAGGTTGATGTCGCTGCCCGTTTTCACCATCAGATCGGGAGGCCCAAAGATTTCCGCTTTCAGTTCTGCAATGGCGAAAAAACAGGAAATAAGAGGGAATGAACAAAAAGTCACTTAAGTTGGCAAGACTCTGCCTTTTTTTTTGCGTAACAATGATAATAATAATAATGTTAATGATAACGTCCAAGTGCACGTTTGTCCGGGGAGTGGGTGGAGGGCTCTACTTTATTACACAGACGCGTGTCTCTATTATGCTGGCGATAAGCTTTTGTTATGCCGTATAAAAGGCACTCGGCACTCATACGCCCCGTGGTACCTGCAGCCCGACACTGGCCTCCCTCGGTCCACTCTCGGAGATTGTCTACAAAAAAAGACAAAAGGGGCTGTGAAGCTGTGAGGCTGCGAGACTGCGGGGCTGGGAATTTAAAAGAAATAAGAAGAATTTTCTGCTCTCCATTGGGGGACTCGAAATCAAAATGTCAACATTGAAGTGCCTTTTGTTGTTCGAGCGTCAATGGATTCAATTGAGAAATATCATCGTGGACAGCCAAGAAATACGATTTGTAGTTAAAGCTTATGATTGCTGACAGTTGGCTTAATGGAAAATGTCTCAACGTGTCCCTCATTCTTCAGCCAATACGTAATACTTGTGTTAAACACAGCTCTTTCGTTTCTGTTCTACTTTCACTCCCGTAAGCGGCGAAAAAAAGAAATTTAAAAGGAACACCATTCAGAACCTAAACAACCGCAAAGCCCGTGGATATAAATTGCAGCCGAGAAAGAGGGAATTGCAACTGGAACATTTGTACATCTGGGCCCATAACACACACACACCCTAGCATTCGCAGTGATGTGGCTTTATTGCGGGTTGGCTGCCATTCAATCGTGTGGCAAAAACCGAACCAAACGGAATTTGAATGCTCCAAAAAGCTTTGGCAAAAAATGTTGCATGAAAGGCCTAGCCCAGCCTAGCCCAGCCTAGCCCAGCCTGGGTGGGATGATGATTTTTCAATAACGAGCCTTAAATAGAGTGGCATTCGACTTTAAGACGAGCCTTTAAATCAGGTGTGGCGGGCATCGAGGATATGGCGTCCCAAAAATGTTAATCTAAATGAAATGCCAAGTAGCAAAAGTAATATACATCCCGCAACAAAGAGGGCAAACAAAGAGCGAAGCAACCCCAAATGGAATTCGAACATGCTGGGCGATTATCTGGCTGTTTTATAGACCCGCACCCAGGACCAAATCCGAAAGTCGCAGGGAAAGCGCTGAGTGTGCTCCTGCCAGCCCCGACTCCTGCCAGTGACAGTGGCGCTCCTGATGACTGTTGTTGTACCTGGCAAAACAATTGTGGCAGCGTAGCTAACCGTCTATGACTTTTGCCACTCGCCCGGTGCAGGAAGCCGTGGCTGTGAAAATTATTGCTTTGCACACACATAGACACAGTCTCCCACGTACATGCAGCTGACAAGGCGCCTGCGGTTCCCACGAATGGGGTTTTCCCAAGGACCACAGAGTGTTATCCAGGTGCTAACCCGCATTTTTCCCCATTTTTTTTCGTTTTACCAACGACGACGACAGGGCACAATGAATGGGAGTCCTTTCGAGGGGAGCTCCCATGGAAAATTGCTTATTTAACTATAATTAGATTAAGTGTTGCCGGCAATAGGTGAGCTGCATTAAGGATGAGGAAAGTAAGTCAGTGAGTCAGTCAGGCTGGGCCGCAGCTATTTGAAGTTTTCATTAGGCTTGGCCACAGTTGACCCAGGCCGAAAGCCGAAAGTGGAGAGCCGAAAGTTGCAAAGTCTACTTTTGGCCACATGCCAAAGTCAAAACGAAAAAGTTCCGCCCCCTCGACCTAGCAAACAAAGTCCTTACCGAGTCTTGTTTACACACAACGAGCTCAGGCTCGGCCTGTGGAGGATTTTTGTGCAGCCGCAGCAAAAACATGCACGAGGAGGAGTAATGGGGGGAATGGTGGGCATATGGAGGATTGTTTAAGGGGAGAAGGGGAGATCCTACGGAGAGCAGCAGAAGGAGCTGAAATGCATTTTCATTTTTCTTGATTTCGCGCATAAAATGCGCATAAGCCTATATGCCCATAAACATTTAGAGCGATGAACTTTGCAAAGAGGCCCGGCACAAAACATGGCATACTTTTTGGGGCAACTGCAGCCCGGCCTGCCATCCTGGCATCCTGACTCTGGTATCCTTATGCTCGTTGTGGAGCCGGGCCGGGCCGGGTTGTAAAAATTTATTACCCTTCGCCAGTGTTGATGCATGTTTGCACACATGTAACAACATCTCGGTATTTATTGCCCGAAAAACAATATCAAACTGGGCCGGGACGAGCGGCCATTATCTTTAAGCTACGGCCTACGGCCTCTTTAAATTCGAGGCGGACAATTAATCGGACATGGACGTGCAATTGCCCGGAATTAATTGTCAAATCAAATAAACAAATTCAATTTGTAAAAGTCAGCCGCATTGCCGGGCACAATTGATGAAGTATTTTCGCCTCGGCCGGCCCCGTCCTGCCCGCTTTCCACTTCCTGCTCCATGGCATTCAATTCAGTTCCATTTGCCTGTCAGGATTTCTGGTCCCATCCCCAACAATGGCCGAAATGAAAATGCCAAAACATCATCGTGGCTCCTAGTCCCGAATCCGGAGTCCGGAGTCCCGTTTGGGGCCTTTTCAGTGGTCTCCATTGTTGTGATTATTATTATTATTAATAATTCGACATTGCTGCAGAGACATTAATCATATCCTCCTCAAGTCCCGCCTTTCTATCCCATTTCTGGGCAATATCTCAGTAATTTATCATTGGTCCATTTTTTGGTCTAGGCATTCGGCGTAGAATGTAATTTGAGCGGCAAACGAACGAAGTGGGAAGTAAAACATTTGATTGCCGGGCAAATTGTGTGGCCCGGAATAGCGCAGCACAGTCCTTTAGCTCGTCCTTGATGAGTGTTTATAAAAATTCATTATGCCCACCGGTTCACTCTGTGCCTTGTGCCACGCACAAAAGTCTCACCGTGGGCGGTCTATCTCCTAAGACCACTTCTGTGGTTCTTTAAATTTCTAGGCCAAACGAAAACTTTTGCCCACGTACAATTTGCATACGAATGGGGTCAGGTGGCACCAAATGCAGCAACAAATTCTCATTCCCAGCTCCCAAGACAATGAGAATCGCTTAACTTTTAAGCTGCCGAAAAGTGTTCGCATCTTGAGCACTCAATGTGCATCATAATTGCCAAGAATTTCTTGGTTTTCCTCTATTAACCTCGGGGAACAATTGTGTATTGAAGGTGAGATTCTTTGTTTTTCTGAAGGCCACCTTAATGGATTTTTCGAACTCCATTCAGGCTGCCAATGAACACTCCTGAGCTAAAACTTCCTCAGTGCTTTGGGATAAACAAAATAATATCCTTAAAGGATTTCTGGCCCAAGGGAAGTAATTATCGTTTAAGTTTTACAAAGAACTCGAATGTGGAAGCTTGAAAATATAGAAAGTTCATAGAGTAAAGTGGAAAATCTATTAGATGATGGAGATTTTCAGAGAACAGAGTTGTTAAAAAACTTGATTGTGTTTTATGAAAACTTTTTGGCAGCAATGAATGGGGTTTTAATAAAATTTCAACACTTGTAGAAAGTTAGAAAGCTCCTGTCTCTTGTCTATTTCTAATAAAGTCCTGTTTTCTTTTTTTATCCAAACTTGAATGGAGGGAATCTTTTAGCTGAAAGGAATTCAAAAACTCCCTTCTATGCTCGCTCTTTGGATTATTATTTTCTCCTGATGGCATGCAATTTGCTGGCTAATGTCAACAGCAACTCACCGGCAAAAGTGTTGGTTTACAGACCCGAAAATGAGCCATCTTCTTGGCATCTCCATCTTGTCAGCCACGCATTCAAATTGCCTCCAATTCCCCCAGCTTCCAGCTACCAGCTTCCAGATCCCTCTTCCTGGATGCAGCACTTCCGGCGCGACGGTTGTGCAATTTGTTTTTCACTCCCGCTACTCTTAACTAAGCAAGGTAGCGCTTACGCTTGATTACATTTGCGCTGGTAAACAAATTTTTCCAGAAGCTTCAACAACACCTTTCTTATTTTATTTTTAGCCCCATTCCTCAGTACCCATCCAGTCCCTTATCCTGTTTGTTGTCCTTGCTCTGTCGGCCGTCTTCTACTGTCACTCTCTCTGAGGGACACATAATTTAATTTACAATTTGCCCGCTTTATCAGCGTGTTTGGTAATTTGCCTTAAATTCAAAATTAAATCGAGTCGAGGGTGACAACTCCAAGGCGTCTTCAGTTATCTATGCGCATATAAACTGGCAGCGAACACCTCTAGTTGCCTCCGCCTGGTCTCCTTCCTGGACTCGGTTGGAGTACATAAACTTGGTAATTTAAGCAATTGGAGCGGCTGCTGGCTGCATTAAAATGTCAAAAATATTGTGGCAGTAGAGGAAGGCGGAAAATATGGCCCAGACGGGAGGCGATTTATGTTTATGATGCTCTGGTCAACTTGGCGCTGTTTTGTTTATCATTCCGCTGTTTTTTTATCTCACTTTCTGGTGTGTAATAGAATTTCAGTGGCGTCTCTGCCAGTGAGGGGAAAAACACACAAATTTATGGAATTTTTAGTGCACAATTTTTATTTGCATAAGCGCATAAAAATTCCAACATAACAACAAACTTGTTTGCAGCAGACAGTCCACCACAGTGGATCCCCAAACTAAGTGCTCGAAACTAGCTGCCGAATAAAAATATGAAAATAGCAAAGGGCTATTTAGACAGTTTTTTGTTGAAATGTTCCGCAAACAAACAAATGGTGTAATAGTCATGGTAATATCTGGTCAAATATTTTTATGATGGCTCGAATTGGATTGGAGTTTAATTGAAAATAGCTGTCAATGTCAATTGTGAGCCAAGATTAATAACGAGAGGAATGGGCAGTGTCCCCCAGAACTGATTCGATTGCCGGCCCAACACCACCACTGTACTGGGTGACCTGCTGTTTGCTGTTTCCGCGTGAGTGGCATGTCGAATATTTTATATGCACATTTCTTTTTGGGCATTCAAATGAGTCCCAGCCCAACACGTCCTGCCCGGCCCGGTCCACCCACACGGGGCGTGGCCGGTTATATGCAGTCGTTTCGTAGTCATTTGCATTTCCGCAAATGTAATATTTATGACTCTATGTGTCTGACTCCCGACTTTTCTGGGCGTGTGTTGAGCTTCTGACTTGTCAGTCTGTCTGTCTGTCAAATAGTTGCCGGATTCTTGCTCCCAAATGCGTGTAAACTCATATTCAAAACTCTCGTTCATATTTCGGTGAGTCCTAAAAGATTCATAACCGAGTCGGTGTAGGGGCCCGGGCTGACCATGGTATTTTATGTTGGCCAAAAGTCGTTTGTCCGTGTGGCCGAACCCACTTGGCTAAAACAACAAACACACATACACACATATGTATGTACATATATGGATTTTTTGTGAAATTTATATTTGCTGTCGAGAATCAGAGATCAAATAAGCTCATTGAGGGCACTCTTCCGCACCAAAAGCTTTTAGCCAAATGCATTTTGCTAATATAAAATGCGATAAAAATGCACCGAACAGGAACGAAACCGAAAATCCACAAGCAAGCCCCAAAACACACACAAACTTTAAGCCAAGTCGGTCCGAAAGGATAACGTCTTTCGGCAGTCAGTCAGTCCATCCTTCCATTCGTCCCTAACTGCTGATGTGTGACACGGGTCCTGACCCAAGTACAAACTAATTACCCGCCCAATTGCCAAGACAAAGAGGTAAGCATTATCTAAAAAGCCAACTCTCGCACTTAACCCCAAAAAACAACAGGCCGAACACACAGGGAAGCCAATTTGCACATAATCGAATTGAAAATTTTATAATCACGAGCAGCAGCAGCAGTAGAAGGCTACCAGCTTGGCTCGGCGGGTGGCCAAATTGCTGCTAACGTGGCCAACATGTCTCGGAGTCGGTGGGTGTCGGGGGGTAAGAATGGCTTACGAAAATAGCATGCATATTGTATGGCTTGCTTAAGCACACGAAACCTGCATGGAAGTCTGCTGAAAGTGCTGCCTGGTAAGTTTCAAGAGCTTAGCCCATAAAAGTAATCACTTCAGTGGTTTGTGACCAATTTTAAGGCAGCCTCGTTCTTTATTTTCCCCTATTTGCTATTGGCCTATTTAGCAATTTCGGGTAATGGGTAAAGTTTTAAATTCTGGCTTCTAAAACAAATTATCAGTCAAGGTTTAGTTGCAAGTCAAAAATTCTGGCAAAGTTTTTAACTCTACAAGTTTTTGGTCAAATAATGCCTTTTATTATGTATAAATACAATAATCAAAAATTGCTTTAAACACCGACTTTAAACACTCACCCACAACATTAAAGGTGTAGGACAGTGACATCTTGGGCTCCGTGTTGATTTGGCACTCGTAGACGCCCGAGTCCCTGGGCTGGGGATACTTGATTTGAAGAGTCCAATTGGCGGAGCCATCGGGTCGCAGAACCTTTGGGGAAAACAGGAAGAAAACTTGCAACTTCCACTCCATATGGAGCAAGAAAAAGTGTCACTCACCTGGAAACGCTGATCGGATGTGTAGGTGGTGCCGCCGGCGGTGAGGATATGCAGATCACGTTTGCGAATCCAGGAGACCTAGAACGGTAATGAAAACAACAGGGGATCGGAATGAAGTGCTTGGCGTTTTGGAAAAGTTTTGGGAGCATTACAAATTCCGCACTTAAAACTTTTTTTCTCGCAAGTGAGTTTAACGTGTTGTGTCTGGCAGGAGGAGGAAGTCCTCCTTCCGTGGCACGGAACAAAAAACATGGAGCCTGAGAGGATGATGGGATGAGGTGGCAAAATACAAAAAAACAAAAGCGAAAAGTTTAGGTTGCTTTTTATATTTTTTGGTGTTCTTGGCTTGGTTAATCTTTAACATTTGGCTTTTTGTTTCTCTGGCATTTAATCAGCAAACAAACAAAAAGAAGCAAGCCGGGAACCGACAAAAAGCTAAAACCGGAGAAAGTTCCAAAGCATAAACGCTGAGTACATTAGACCGTGAAGGGCTCCAGATTATTCTTAGAAATATATCACATCACCGGGAAATGAGAGATGTTCTCAAACGCCCATTTAAATGGCCCTCGACAATTGCAAAGTCTTTAAGCCAGAGCCAGACTGGCCGAAAGGTCAGACTGCCAATGGGTCGGTCGGCCCAATTTTGTCAAAGCTGCTTGCTCAGCGCGATTTCCAATTGTTTCGAATTGCCTTCAATCCTTTTCTGGCCAGATACGAGACTAAAGGAACACAGAAACAGGAAAAAAAAAACGAAAAAGTAACAGAAACAGAAGGCTAAGGAAAATGGCCAGCAATGAGACAGCTTTGACGCCATTTTCAGCCTTTATTTGGAAGGCATTTTTATTATTGCTTGAATTACATTTTCATTTGATTGCCTAGCGCCCCGGCATTCGCCCTTATTCTTGGATTCGGGAAAATCTTTTGGGGAAAGCCATTAACCATGATTTTGTGTCTTTCTGGCCCGCACTGACTGGCTGACCGTGATTTCACCTCCTCGACTTCCTCCTCGTCCGCCCACACACTTTGTGCCCTTTTTTGGCACATTGTTTCCAATTTATTTGATGACCTTAGTTTTCGTTGTTGTGCCCTGCTATTGTGATGCTCAATTTTAATTACATGGAAAAGTTTTACTTCCTCCCGCCACCCTGCCACACGCCGCTGCAAGAAACTTTAAATGTTGCCCCACTGTCAACATTAAAGTTGAAAATATGCTACCTCATTAATAAATTTAATTGTCTTGCCCCGCGGACCTGTGAGCCAAGTTGGCCCATTCGACTATTTGCGCAATACTTGTGGCGGCCCCCCAGATCCCCGATTGGGCCGAAATGGCCAGACAACAACTATTGGCCATCTAATAAATTCATTCGATTTGAGGCGGAACCCATAGAATACCGAATACGGAATCAAACCGGTCACGTAATTCGTAAAAATAAAAATCATTTGCTTGTAAAACTTTTATGCGCCGGCCGCTTTTATGCCCCTCCAGAGCTCGCAGTCCAGAGGCCGGATCATAGGCGAATTGTCATGGTCGAATGTAAATTAAACACCCCCGCCTCGGAGGGAAAAGGTCAAATCTCGGTTAAATCCAGGACAGCATCGATTTACCCGTTTGTCAGGCAATTGTCACCGTCGCCTCTCGCCGGCACACAGTGCGTATGAGCAATGCCATCTGGCCGTAAAGCCAGCTCGAAATGAACTGTAAACTGTGGATTGTGGCACAAGCTAAAGAACTATTCGAATCCAGGATCGTGAATCTGTAGAAGCAGTAACCCTCTCAATTAGATATTCCGGGCCAGAGCTTAAATATTTCATTTTCCAACTGCAAAATGGCGAGAATCAAAAGTGAAAAGTTTCGCAACTCCACCCAAGGCGCCGACACAGCCCAAGTCCTGTTCTCAGCCATATCCCGTGTCAAGAAGTTGTCCCAATCTCAGCGGCACGTTGGATTTCCACCTCCGCGAGGCGGGACGTCGTGGGACAGGTTGAAGTCCCTGGAGTGCCATGGTGGAGAACTTTGCTCGGGGTATAATTTTCGTAATGTCTTTAGGTTTAAATAAATACCACAAGCATAGTTTTATATTATTTAACACTTTGTGTTCGTTGCGGCCAGAAACTTTCGGTTCGACTTGCCCCACTCTCGTTGGGCAACTCAGGCTTCAGCTCCAGTTTCAGTTTGGGCTTCGGTTTCGTCTCCGGCTTCAACTTGCCACAACTCTTACTTTCTCTTTGTTTTTCTGTCATCCCCCAGCACTTTCAAATGAAGGAAGTTTCTCTCAGTGTCGGTGTGTTTGTGCGAGCGTGTGGAAAACTTGGCGAAAATACATTAAAAACTTTCCTGACGCATTTTCTGCGTCTCTAACCAAGAGAGACTTTAGACTTGGTCGAAAAACCCGACGGAGCCAAAAATAGTTGATGTTGCAGTTGCAGTTGTTAGTTTGTTGCCACTTTTAGGAACAACCATTAAGCACTGCGAAGAGCGGTTTCGATTCGAAAATTACTCACGGGCTTCCTCTAATGAACTTGATCCAAATTTAATTGTTTCCCCTTGAAGGCAACTGTGTCTCGGGTCTTGACAATAAACAAATGAAGACTTCAATGCCAGCATTTTGTAAACAAAGTTGTAAACAGATTTCGCATTTTTTTCCCTCTGACTTTTTGGGGCGCCCCTGTTTCTGGGAACGAAGGTTGTCCTGTCGGCATTAAAAAGGGTTCGCTGCCTTTTCACAAAAAAAGCCTAAAACTTTGTTTAATATACTTTTTTTTTTTTTTGCAAAGAGTTTTTTGTCTGAGCCGGCGTTGCCTTAGCGATTGGTATTGTTGCGGCGGCCTTTGGTATTACACGAGTAAATTGCTCGTGCTCATGTTCACTGATGTAGCCGCGGAGCGTTTATGAAAATGTTGGCGGCACTCGACGCGTAATAAATCAACAGTGAACGGACAATCCTGTGAAGTCAAGTTGAACAAGCGGATTCAACGCCAGCTTCCGGCCAGGGCCAGTCGAAAACAAGTAGGCAGGAGCTTGCCAGGGAAGGCGATATTGTAGATACTCTTTAGGCGCTTACATTTTGGCCTAATGAGGGCAATCCCAATGGATTCCAAAGCCTTTTAAATCGAAATAATATAACTAATTGTATAAGGACATAAATGCATTTAAAAGGATCTTCCAAAAGGCCAAGAATGGGATCTATTGGACCTTATTCTTCCTAAAAGCCGATAGATTCTTCATAGACCACGATTCGGAAAGAGTATAACTGCGAAAGCCGAGCCGTGTCAGCTGATATGGAAATGACGCCCACCTCCTGCCACCAGCTGCCACCCTGACACCACCTCTCTACGGGAATACTTACGGCTAACGAACTAACGGACGGGCATAAATTACCCGGAGGAAGCCGGCTCCGCGTGGAGTGGCGCATAATGGAAGCCAAGCGCCGGCAAAGTTATTTGCCGTAACTGTTACACTTTCAATTTTGAGTTTATGGGTGCAAGTGTAGGTGAAGGACCCAGGACGAAGGACGACATAGAAGGAGCAGGATGCCAGACCAGTTTTTTGCGTGGGCACGAGCACTGACAGCTCGCGGTTCCAGTCTGTCAATTACAATTAATGTAGGCGACTTGGCCGGGAGACAAGTTTGTTTTTCACCCACCGCCCAGGGTCCCCACGCCAAAGTCATAGACGACATAGAAGGATCTCGAGAAAAACAGGCACTCCTTGCTTTAAATGCCAACCGGATCGATCTCAGCTATATAATCCGACAAAAACCTACAGATTGAACTTCGCACAGATGATGTATTAAAATTTTTGGTTATATTTTGGAATCCTACGGCCCAAAACCCTACAAGAAAAGAATGGAGTGCGAAAAGTGTGGTAAGTTCTCTACTGTTCCATTTATAAAGGATAATGGGATTATAATTTTTAAGATATCACCCGAAATGCCGGCGATCTTAAGCCCGATGGCATTCGAGGCGTGGAGGAGCTCAAGCCGGACACCACATTGGAGATGGAGATCGAGGAGGCCCTGTCCTCCAGTAGTGCCGACGATACTCCGCCCGGCATGATTGTGGTGGAGACAAGGATCAACACGTGGGAGAAGCAGCCGATCAGTGAGGAGACTATTCCCGAGGTGGCGGTGGAACAGGCTGCCTGCTCCGTGTCCCTGGGCCTCAAGCCGACCGTTCATTTCCAGAAACTTACTCCTGGGCATCCTATGGCCAGCACTGAGGCCGCCCTGGCAGCTGCCAACAGTTCGGCCTTCACTACGCCCTTGGACAAGCCCGTGACAGTGCCTGCACCCATTGTCACAGACTCCATTTCCACCCTGAGGCACTGCATCGACGGCGCCACCCAGTGCAACAACCTGGGTCTGGAGTATGAGTCTGTGTCCAACGATTCAATGCCATCGGTGGGATCGCTAGTCTGCCGTATTTGTCACAACGCCGATAATCCAGAGCAGTAAGTGAGAGGGGGCTTGTTTCTATTACACATCCATTAATTTCAAACCTGGCTTAAGGACTTCTGGTTAATGCTTTTCTGTGTCAACTAATCTAGTTTAAATTTCAAAACTTTCAGCCTTCTATCCCCAAATACCCGAAATATGATGAAACAATAAATTAAAAGCCAATATTGAGGATATAGCTAGTCCCAGTAACCCCGGTATAGAGTCCAGTAACTTCCATTTAATTACGAACGTGCAGCCGCAAATTGTGCAAGAAATTAATTGCGCGGCATTTAATGCATTTACTGCCTGCCAGTTGCGCGAATGCATTTATTTATTTTAATTATTAAAATTAACACGGCAAACCAGGGAAACACAGAAAGCCCGTCGTTCCGTCCCCATTGAGCACTTTATCCCTGATTATCTGGTGGCTGTCTGACTTAATCCCCTGATTTTTCATTGTTGCCGCTGTTTACCCAACCCAGACCCATCCTACACCCACCCACTACCCACTACCCACAACCACGCCCACGCCCATTTAAACTTTCGCCTGTTCCTCTCCGATTTGTTTGCAGACTCGTGTCGCCTTGTTTGTGCAAGGGCTCGCTGACATATGTCCATGTGCACTGCCTGGAGCGTTGGATTAGCACCTCGCGCTGCACCACCTGCGAGCTCTGCCAGTTCCAGTACAACACGGAGCAGACACTGCGGTAAGTTCAGCATCAGTACAACCGAAGGTTACAACACAGATTAACCCAACATACATAATTATGATATAACATTATGATCTCTAACAAAAAGTAACTTGGTGTTTGACAAAAGTTAAGTATTTGTGGGCTAGTACATAGGTTATTGATGGGAATTTTCTAGTTAATGTTTTTGTTATTGGTATAAAATAGTATAACTTTGTTCTCTGTTTGTATCTTTAATTGTAAAAATATTTAGTGGATCCATCATGGTCCTATCTTTAAAAGCATTCATAGCTGTCGTGAGTTCCATAAGCATAATAGAGGTCTTTCCTCTCTAAGCTTTGTACCATTTTTTTTAGCTTTTAATTCGAATTACTATAATATACTATTACGTTTTTGAACAGTGTAGTAGTACCAGTTGGCAGGAGCCACTCGCAGCGACAGCAGATAAAAGACGCCAGCGGCTCAGATCTTTTTAATCAGCTGAGTTGGCTTTGTGGCGGGTTTTGCTTTTGCGGCAGTGGCTTCTGCTAATTGCCAGACTGTCAGGCGGGTCTTTGTTGGTGCTTTTGTTTTTGGCAGCCTCCGGCAGCCTCAGGTTGGAGATGCACGATTTTGAAGCACTTCCGTTGCAGGTACACCTGTCTGCAGTCGCTGCGACTTTGGTACTCCAGGGCGATGAGTCGCAGGGCACTGCAGGAGGATTGCCAGATGTTCTCGCTGCTCACTTTGGTGGCTTTCGGCATCATCGGTACACTGCTGGTGGGGATCCAGTACTACGCCCTGCACACCCACTCCTGGGGCCTCAGCAAGCTCTGGACCAAGTCGTGGATGCTCTTTTTCCTGTTCATGACAGTGGTGAAGGACTCGCTCCCCCCGCCTTGCCACCATTAACGCTCTCGCCCACAGATAACCGTCTACTTTGCCAACATATACATGCTGATCAAGTCCCAGCTGACGCCCTGGTATCGGTAAGTGAGTTATTTTCCATTGGGTTGCTCCCAACAATTGCCTATCAACGACTTTATTAGCCCACTTTGCGGTTCAATTGCGTGGGAATTTATTTTTCGCTAATTTTTTGGCTATTTATTCGTGTGTGTATTTTTAAACAGGAGAGCCCATGGCTAAAAACAGAAATCTAATTTTAAACTACAAATTGGACTGTTTTTGGGAAAATATAATTAGCATTTATTTAAATACAAAAAAGTGGCAAATTAATTGCAATACTTTAATACATTGTTTGGAAAAGCCAGTGAAATTTAATATTTTTATTGGAAAACAACATTAAGGACTTTAAAGACTACTTAAGCGGAATAAGAAATCCTTATTGAACAAACTTCGGTTGAGTAACTTCCGGTGAGAACAACCGGAAGTGAATAAAATAAACAAAAGTGAGAGTATTTTCATCAAGGTTTTAGTTATTGATAGCCATTTAAACCCCATTTATAAAACTTTTATCTCATGTATATCCCCAGGTGGTGGCAGTCTGCGAGGGACATCAAGCTGATCTTGGAGAACAGACGACCCTTCCCCAATCCGAGTCGCCTGATGAGAGCCCAGCAGGGGGAAACCGCCTCGACTACAGCCTCCATGTTCACCCACCACGATCAGCAGGATGTCGCCCGGGCACCCCCAATCCTGATCAGTTCCAGCGAAGAGGAGTACGACGAGAAGAACGCCCAGAAGTGGGGCACACGACTGGACAGCGAGGTGCTGGCCGCCGTTGTGGCAGCCACCGTGGAATCGATTGCTGACGCAAGTGCCTGCGATAGTGAGCAACACTCTGAGCCACATCAGGATGTACACCAGCAGCAGCCGGAAGGCGACAACTGAAAGGACATTGACGGCAAACCGGGCAAGGTCTTGGGATGAGGATGCGGCAGAGCACGGGGTAGTTGGGCTGGGCAAGTAATTAAGGCTCAAGGGCAAGGATTTTTGCTTGGCTTTCGTTGTTTGCGTGTCATTTGTTTAATGTACTTTCAATGCTTTTAATGAACTTTCCCGATGAGAGCTCAAATTAAATGGGTAAACTAACCCAAGCTCTCAGGAGCTTCTCAGTGGGCCCGATGTCGATGGTGTTGTTGGGTAGTCTGTGTAGAACTCCTGTTCTACTTGTCCTTCCTTTTCCTGTCTCAGTTCGTGCTTGCACTTTGGCTGCTTCCTCCAAGGCGCACAACTTCCGGTTTCCTGTCGTACCTCGTCTCCTTCCCCCGCTTCTGGCTTAAATCGGGCAAATTAAAGGCGATAACACGAGAGCACGAGGCTGATGGCAGAGCCAGTCACGTGATTGATGGCTCATAAATTAGTCATTTTGCTCTAGCCCGTGTGCGTCAGTATCAGTCAAGTCTATTTGAGGCTGTACTTATAACGGATTGGTCTACGGAAGGCGAAATGAGGGGTATGAGGTACTCGTTAGGATCGAGCCACGCCCCCGCACCCGACCGGCCCGGCCCGGAATGGCAACTCCCCCAGGACATTGTCGCCCGTCTTGTTTGGCAATTTTTCTCCCCGCCTCCGAGTCCCGATTGCAGCCCGGTAATTTGGTCTGGGTCCTTTCCTCGTTTTTACCATTTAATAACAGCACGAGTCCTGGTTGCTAATGCACACTGGTTCAAGGGCCGGACGTTGTCAGGAGGACATCCATTCGGGGCCCTGAATTTTGAATGATTGGCCGCTGTCACCGCTCTGGACCACTGTGAGTCACCGGCCAAGAGCCTCTAAGCCGCCCGTCCAAGAGCCAAAACGCCCACCTAATGTGCCAGTGATGTTGACATATTAGGCCCGGCAACGCCACCAGTCCAGCATTCTTCTTCGAAGGGCTCTGGGCCATATTTGGCGAAGGGTTAACAGCCCGGAGCAACCTTCAATCATTCGGCTTTGGATCGGTCCGTATCCCAATGCTTTGGCAATCACGGCCGGAATGATGGAGTGCCGACAAATCCCTAGCGGAATTTTCATTTATTTCGCAGCATTTCCATATGTTAAGCCATTGAGTTTAAAAGTACTCTATTTTTAGGTTTGGTTAGTCAGGATATATAGGGGAGTTTGAATGCTAGAGGTAGAAATATACAGTATTTAGATTCCTATCGTTCTTATGAGTTACAAAATTTTGAAAAAACAAACAGAATACTTCAATAAACCAATCTTAACTTCGAGTCAGAAAGTGTTTATGGAAATGGCCGCCATTTCCGAAAGGGCATTGCATTTTTCGTTATGGAAGAGTTGCTTCCTCTGCCGGCTTCGAACCGGGTCCGATTGGTGGTGCTTCTGTAAACTTTCTACTTACGTCCTTATCGCCGAGCCGCTCCACACGGCAGTGGAGGAAGCCGGTCTGGCCAACGGTTACGGTCAAGTTGCGCGGCACATCAAAGTCGAAGTAGGGCAGCAGATTCGAGGGCGAGATTGTGGTGGTCGTTGTCGTGGGCGGCGTCGGGGCAATCGCAGCGGTGTAGCCTAGAAATACAAAAAAGGACATTCGGGTGAGTGGGTGGAGTAAGAGGGGGAGAGTGAGAGTGAGTGAGATGTAGGGCTGTGTGGCATAAAAACTTGTGCCAAATGGAAATTTATTTTCATTTTCATTTGCACATACGTAGCGGCGTATTGTTGGTTTTAGCGTAGCATTCAAAATGCCCGAAACCCCCTAGTTCCCTCCGCGAGAGTCCTGCCTGGCCACAACTTTTGGCGGCTGGCAGAGTCCTAACTGAAACTGAAAAGTAATAAAATTCGCATAAAAATTGTGCTCAAAAAACGAAGAGGAAAACAAATAAATGAACACTGAGAGGGATGTAGGGTGTGTGTGTGTGTTTGGCACAAAGTATCCTCAACAAACAATTATACTTTCATTTTTATTTTTTTTGATATTTGTTTGCCGTTGCGTGAGGACTTTTTATTTTTTTATTCGGTTGGTTTTTGGTGTGAAGGGACATCAACATTAAACACCCAAAAGGCCTTCTCTATTTAATCAGAGGCATGCCCCATTTTAAGACACTTGAAGACACCATTGGAATTCAATTTCAATGGATCTCTTATCCTATTTTACAGGTTATTATGAATGTAAATAAATATCAGTAATTATGAGCTCTTTTGTCTTGTGGCCAGAACAGAAAAGATGTTAATTATGATGGTAAAAATGTTTTCCGGTCATCAGCACACTTTGGTAGAAGTTGGCCCACTAAACATGTCAAAGCCGAGAAGAAAAAGTTGTGTCCTGCAGTTACCCAGAACGAAGTCAGATAATGGCCAAAGGAGCCTGGGCAGGAAACGGGTGAAATAAGTTCGTCATTGAGACACTGAGGAAGACAAGTCGAAGAAAGTTTCTCACATCAAAGAGGAGCCAGGCACAAATCGGCACAGATCACATCCAGCCAACTGGAATACGAATAATTGAATGAGACGATACGCGATGGAGCTCTTCGTTCGCTTCTGCCATTGGCGTCAGTTTATCGAACTCTGGGCTTGGGTTTTGGGGCTGAACTCCAACCGACAGCCAAGAATCAAAGAGCCACCCAGCCGGAGGAAAACTGCTGTTGCACATTTCCGTTTCCGCACGCGCAGAAAAAAAAATGGAGAAGAAGTGAAAACTTTCGCCAGGACACGCACACACTCACAGGCGAAACATGCGAAAACTTTTCCACATGCGTAGCAACGTGAAAACATGAATCGACTCCACCGCAAGTCGAGTGGGTGGGATGGCGGATAGATGGGTGGATGGCTCGTTGTGGAACATGACAAATTTTACGATTTACTTTTTGAAAAATTTCAAACACAAAGTTAAATTTAATGCGCACCCGCAACATTTGCGTACGTGCCGCTTTCCATCTTGGGGCAATATGCAAAACATTCCGCCATCGCCATAGATAATAATGTGTAACGCCAGAGTGGGGGCTTTTGGGCTCCGAAAAGTTTGATTCTTTAATCGAAGTGGCATTGCTCTTTCAAAGTGCAAATAGGCCTTGAGGAGTCAGGGGGTTCTGGCGAGATTTGGATACCTTTGAACTTTTATTTCGGTTCAACTATTAAATCTTTATGACTTTTCTGAAATTTGTTTTAATTTATATTGCTATTTTTGAAACTAAGAGAAACTTTCTGTAGAACTTAAGCTGGAAATTTTAATGAAAATTTTCCCAAAATGAATTTTCCATATGTATTTTCCTTTCATGCCCTCCATCCTACCACAACACCAGACACCATAGTCCCTCTCCCTCCGAATACCGAAATATAGGTAACAGGGTATCAAAAGCGTACGAAAATGAGCTTAGAAATGTTGCACGTATGCGTGCGTGGGGCATAAACGACGTGGAAAGCGCGGAAAATTCGAGTCGAGCGGAAAACGCACAGCGGCACAGGGAGAGTGACAGAGTCTAACACTGAACTTAATTTATTGTTTATCAGCGAACATGCAATTTATGGCCGGGACTGGAAAGATTTTCCCCACAACATTTTTAGGCCACACTCTGTGTGCGGCTGGGTGTGTTACAAACTTTGTGCTAATTTTAAGTTTATGCATGGAAAATTTGCTCACGCTGTGAAAATTAACGATGCGGCTGCTGGGCTATCCTGCTATCCCACCATGTCCTGGGCCAACTTGTCGATGCCTCCGATTTGTTGTTAGGCAGTTTGTTTGCCAGCCCGCCTCACCCACCTCCTCCACAGCCTGCCGGTTTTGGTAACAGCTATCGATAACTACAGGGCTCACCGGCAGCTGGCTGCTGTCAGATTTGGGCTTTGGCTTTAAGCGTGCGCTTAATCAAAAACGTTCGACGCCTGCAAATTAACATGATGCATGGCAGGGCTCAAGCCCAGGACCCGCTCCCCAGTTGCGGTCGGAGGACCAAAAATATTTGCCGACTTTTCAACCCGAAAATTAGCAAATGTGGTGGAAAATGTTTGCGGTTTTGTGGGGGTTTGACAGCGCAACATATGAATATTTATGCTGGCACTTTGCGCCAAATAAGCATAAATGGAAATTGGCCAAAATCGAAACTGAAACGATTAAGGAAAGGCCGCTATTGAGCGTGAAACACAAAGCGAGTTAAATACCTAGTGACAGAGAAAACAATGCGTTGTCCTGTCGAGAAAGGACTCCTCCTTAGATTGGCCGTGATCCCCAGCACTTAAGCTCCGGTTACATTGACATCGAGGCATTGAAGCTTTGAGTGGCAGACGATGCACTCGACGGGGCTCCTTCGGAGCTCTTAACTTGGCCCACAACCGTCTGGAGTCTAGACTTTCGGGGCTTCCCAGGGAGGGAGACTGCCTCAGCTCCCTCAGCTGGAGCTCCTCGAAATATGCTGAACTATCGATTATGCTGCAAAGTGTTTCCGTTCCGGTGTCAGGCAGTGGGGCGAGCTCCGCGGAGTGGCAGGCGGTGCATATAAATATTTGCACAGCAAATTGCTCTTTCCACTTTGTGTGCTCTATTTGCTCGAGCAAATTAAATCAAAATGAAAATTTGCCAGAAAAATATTGAGCGTCTAATCAGGAGCCGGAACGAAGTCAGAGCAACAAACTGCCTGAGAATATTTTGGCTTACAGGCCACAGACGTGCTTTTTAGCTTATTTTTTCGTTATAAATAAAGTTCCAGAGCACCCAAGGCCCAGAGAGCTTCTCTGGAATTTCCTTTTTTTTGTCGTGTGTCGCCATTTTTATGGGTGACTGTGTCTGCTTTTCTACACTCAGCCATTTCATCACTCAGTTGGCATTATAAGTGCCGCATTTGGAATTTATGATTATTTTTCTTTCGCTTCTCGTCCCGGCTAATGTGGCCATATGAATGCTTAAATACAAATACGCATACAAATCGGGCCAAACTATAAAAGCAGGCGGCGGCCATGACTCACAATGAGGAGCCGGCCAAGTTGGAGCAACGACATATTAGGCAATCATATGTGGCTCTGTTCTCTGGCTGAACACTGTGACTCTTGGGATCCTTGGTTAGACAATGCCAAACGATGTCGCATTTCAATGAGCGTTAAATCCCATGAAAATGTTGCAAAGATGAACCGCTCTATCTGCCGAAAGCTGAAAGCCGAAAGTCACAAAAAAAAAACGCAGAACCGTCTGCGTGCCTCATTTGAAAACCGCCCGTTCGCATTTGCATGCGTTTCACATGTCATGCAGAACAAGCATCCTGCCTCCCTCGGCACATCCTCCTCCGAAAAAAAAAATGTGTTTTAAAAAAATCCCTAACGAAATCAGATAAACGCTTGCTGAACGCTGCTACATGTGATGGATGTGCCGAGTGTTGAGATTCGAGATCACTCGAAAAGTATTCCACCAAAAAAATGAGAAATAAAACTCAGAAATTATACGAAATCGGTTTAAGGCACCGCATCAGCACAATTGAAGGTGAGAAATGAGTGGAGAGATGCTTACGACCCAGATGTGTGTCTGTATCCGTTTCTACTTGCGGGCACCGTATCCTTGTGCTGCACCCTCGAGCTCCTGTTGACAACTCACACACACAAACAGACGCACAATCTGCAGGACCACAACTGCTGGCGGTGGCAGACTCCACATACACATGGCACTCCAGCTGAGCTCAGCAAGTTTGTTTCCCTCGCTTGTAGCTACCAAGTGGGCTTCACTTTAATATAGACATTAATCGGAGCAGGGAATCTCCCTTTCGAGCTGTTTACATGCTCCACACACACACTACACTCTCCACTCCACATTCCACATTTACACACTTTATGATCGAAATCGATTTGACGCTGTTCCCTTCCATTTCCGTTTCCGCAATTGCATTGCAATTGTAATTGAAACGACGGTGACGGACTGAAGGCAATTGTAAAAACAATTTCAGTTGCTTTATTGTTTGTAAATGCAATCCTACATTGGTTAACCGACAAAGAATGAATATTTTTTGCATCGCCTTGCCGAGTCCTTGCCTTTCGCAAAATTGATTACACTTAATGGCGAAGATAAAACCGTAAAGCCTGACCACACGGCGTATGTGTAATGTTCGGGCAATTATCATTGGCATATTGCAGGCCACTCGCTGGCAAACGCAGCCATTTAGCCCCCAGCCATATTTCACTTTTGCCCACTTCTGCATTGGAACGAAAAGCAAGAAAGGAGCCAGAGGAACCAGTGGAGCAGGACCAGCGTGCCAGTCCTGTGCTGGCAATTTTCTATTAGTTTGCTTCCATTCTGTCGATCCGAGTACTCAGACGACAGTGTGCGCACTTAGGCGCGACAATTAATTTATGGCCTAGACGCTTTGCCAACCCATAAATTATGCTTGCGAATGCCAATGAGGCAGGGAGCAAGGGCGGAGTATGAAATTCAGGCCATAATTGAACAACATGGCGTATGAGTAACGAGACTGGCCTCGCAATATAACACCATTTAACGATGCTACAAAAATAGGCATGTTTAGGCTTATTAATAAAGGACATCCAAATATTTGTAAAGTTGAAGCCATCTAGCTTGAAGGTCATAGATATATCAT